GAGTGCTGGGCACTTAATCCAGCTATTCCCCTCCCACTGACCCCTCCTCACTCAGAGATCAGCCTGTGCTGTGTGGGCTTGGGCTATGGGGCAGACAATCTTGCCCTCTTGAAATTCTCCAGCGCGTTCATTCTTGGGGTGCATGTGCTCCAAAAACAGTTTGGATTCGTGGAATTGCTCAGTTCTGACGCTGTACTCAGCATCAGAGAGAGAGCGTTTAGAGAGAGAGAAAGGGAGGGACAATGAGAAGGGGAGAAACACTTAGGTCAGAGAGAAACAATGATCGGTTGCCTCTCGCACACCCTGCAATGGGAGACCTGGCCTGCAATCCAGGCATGTGCCCCAGCTGGGAATCAAACTGGTGACCCTTTGGTTTGTGGGATGGTGCCCAACCCACCGAGCCACACTGGTCAGGGCTAAAATGGGACCTTCTAATGGCATCATCCTCCCAAAGCTGTTGTGAGGATTCACTGAACTGCTGCAAGTAAAACCGTTAGAACAGTGTCTGACACAGTAGCAACTCAGGGGATGCAAACTACTTTCATTGGGTCTGGTGTGCACCCCCTTGTGAGTGGATGATTGCTGGAGAGTGTTTGGTCTTCCTGCAAGCTTTGGGCTCCTCTTCTTCCTCATAGAGGTAATTCTTGGTGTTCTGATTACCTCAGTCTCTTGCTATAAAATCATTTGCACATATTGAGGGATTTATATTCCAGTGAAACCAAATCTGCTGATAGAAATTGCAGGGCATCCTTATTCATGTTGCCCAGCACTGTATTGCTAGATTTTTTTTCCTTCTAGCAAAGTAGGTCCTTGGGGATTATAAACAAGTGGATTTTGTGTTGGGTGAGAAAATACAGTGATGCATGGCAGAGACTCAGAGGGGAAACGAGTTAAAGGGGCAGTGCTAATACTAGGCCAGGCGGTTCTCGCCAGTAATTATGACATCCTGACCAGTGTGGTGCTGTTCCGAAAAGGAATGCTACTGGTCTTGGTGTCCAAAGGCATGGATTCCCAACCCCATTCTGAACTCAGTAGCTTGTGGCCTTGGGCGATCAATCTGAGTTCACTGAGCCTCTGTTTCCTCATCTGCAGAGGGACGGGATGGCTCCGAAGTTCTGTGAGTATAATACTGCATGCTGTGACATGGCTATGAACATGGGCCTTGGATCACATGCCAGGAGTTCAATGTCAGCAGGCAATTGGCTACCTGAAAACACATGTATCTTTTGCCATATTAAAAAAATGAATGCAATTGATGTTTGTGGGCCTCTCTTTCCTGCTGGAAAATATTGAGCATCTCAGTACATGGCAGGTGGAGTGAGAGGAGTTGGGCAGGCGGTCTGCAGAGAAGAGGGCTGCTGGGAGTGGTGGGCGTGTAGGGAGCGACCTTGGTAAAATTGGCCTGGCCATAGCAAGGTGTTATTCTTTCTTATTTTCAGATCGAGGCCCCAGTCTTTTCTTTTAATGTTTCCTATTTATTTATTTATCCTCACCTGAGGATATATTTATTGACTTGAGAGAGAGAGGAAGGGGAGAGAGAGAGAGAGAGAGAGAGATGAGAGAGAAGCATCGATCGGTTGCTTCCTGTATGTGTCCCTACTGGGGATCGAACCCACGACCTCTGTGTGTGTCCAGACTGGAAATAGAACCCTCAACCTTTTGGTGTGTGGGGCGATGCTCCAACCAACTGAGCTACCGGACCAGGGCACTCCAGTCTTAAATTATTTTATAAAAAGGGACAGTTAGAAAAGAATAATCCAAGAGGGTTAGCTCTTGGCCAAGATGATACTTGGGTCATCTGGAACAGCAGCTGCAGCCACAAGGAGAAATGACCGATGGTCAGAAATAGTGAGGCAGGTGGGGTCTGCACTGGGAAGTGCATATATTCTCCAGGCCAGGAGAGCCAGAACGGTTTCCACTTATGGACACAGGAGCCTGAGCTGAAGAGGTTAAGGCAGTCTGAGTGCATCTGAGTTCACTCCAGAAGGGCGGGGACACTTAGTGCCATGGAAGAGCCCCCGCTGGGCCTACACGCCGCCTGCAGGCGTTCACAGCACCGTGGCCCAGAGAGGCTGAAGGGGGAAGAGGGGCAGGCAGTCTCTGACCCCAAACAGTCGCATATTTCCGCAGTGAAGAAACTGGTTACTGTAGGACAGTTGCTCTCAGCTATACCCTGACCCTCAAGAAATTTGCCGGCTCTTTCCTTGTTCCTCTCGTTTGATCCAGAGAAACTGGGATTTCTTAATGGAAAGAACAGGTTGCTCCTGGCCAAGAACAGCCTGCAGCTGCAAGTCTTTGCTCCATGGAGCGTCCACCTCCTGGAGAGGAAGGAGGCTTTGGCTGGAAGGACCTCCCAGCCGCAGTGGTTCCAGGGGCGGCCTGCACTCCGGTCTGAGCTCCCCATCTGCTCTAGTCATTTCTGATGGGCAGTGGAGGGCAGGACTCGGAACTCCCACCCGGGTGACCTTCGCTCTCTGTGAGTGCGTTTCATCCTGCACAACATGGGTCTGTGGAGAAGGTCATCCTCAGGGTTTTCCACTCGGAAAGCATATCATCCTTCGTATTCCTTTTATAACCCAGAAGGCCAGGTGGGGTTGAGCGCCCTGGGACTGGGGAGGGAGCAGAAGCTTAAGGCCCTGGTATAGTCTTGGTTCCAGGTGAGAATGGGCCCTTCCCTAGAGTTGGGAACAGGCCTTGGGGAGAGAAGGGACTTGCCCAAGGTCCCACAGCTACTTAGTGATCAGACCAGGACCAGAATCTGGGCTTTTCTCTTCTGTGCCCCCTCTCTCCACAAGGCTGACAGTGAGTGCACATGGCGGCTCAGGACAGTGTCACCTGCCTGTCCTACAGGCTCTGACCATCAGGCTAGAACTTTCAGAGGCTACCACCATAGTGGGGACCCAGTACTCTAGTGTCCAGGGGCATAAGTGCCCCGTTGCCCACCCTCACCTTCATTATGCCCTTGCATGAACTTGCATGCCTTCCTTCCTCATCTCGGGCCCCTTAGCTGCATCCCCAAGCTGGCCCCTATGACTCAGTTCTGTTCCTCAGCAGTCAGGTTCCCTACAATGCTTGTCAGGTGAACGTCCCCTCCCAAGTGTTGACAGCGGTTGTCTTCTAGGTTTCAGAATTCCGGGGAAGGAGAATTTCTGGGACAGGGAGCCTTTGGAATGAGAAAGGAATTTGAAGTTCACCATGTGAGGGCTTCTGGAAGTGGAAGAAGGTCCACGGGCCAGCACAGGACAGCGGATCAGGGCTGCGCATGCGTATTGCTGGTTATCGACTAGGGCTGCTGTCTGACCATCCTGGAGGTTCTCTGGCCAGGATAACTTAACTCATTAGGAGGTGTGACTGTCACCTGACCATGGAAAGCCAGGTTTGACCACTTAGCTGGTAAACTTCAGAGTGCTTCTGATGAAATTTTGCTGATTTTCTGTACCATGACCACTTTCCTCCCGTGCCCTCTGACCCCATGAACTGTGTTGCTCACCTTTTCCCCATGTCAGCACGTACCTGCCCACACATATGTGTGCATGCACACAGCCCTAAAGAGAATGAAGTTGAGAACAGCCCTGTGTGTGTTTCTGCAAATACTGTGGCTCCCAGGGGAGAACACACACACACATACACATGCACACACACATGCATGCATGCACAGCCTCTTCTGGAGTATTAGCTCAGGAGTTGCTGGGCAATCGACTTTGGTGTTTTGGAAAGAGCCCTGGCTGCTCACTTTTACAGACCTCGAGGGCACATTTCTGCTACAGATTTGAGCCTCTCGGAGCCTCAGCTTCCTTGATTGAGGAAGGCGATAATAACAGCCCTTATCCCAGCGGGGTGTTGTGACGACTCAATGGGGTCATGTATGTGAGGTGTACATACAGTGCCAGCATTTAATAAATCATTACCATGACTGGCTACGATCATGGGTCTCAGTTTCCACCATTGACAAATAGGTATAATAACATATCTGCCTCCTAAAGTTGTCGTGGGGATGAGATGAGGTGATGCATGTGATAGTTTCTTGTCAGCTGTAAGTTGCTGTCCACATTCAAGGCAAAGATGTAGAGAGGGGAATGCCGACATCACTGATTCAACACTGTCTGCTTAAGAGGAGCAGAATGTGAGCAAGTGTCTCATTCTCTTTCAATCTCCTGGGCTTTTCAGGTATCTGGATGCGTTGCTGGCCCATGTGCTCAATAAGGCCTTTGAGATATCCCCCCCTGGAGCCCCAGTTCTTTGCCCTTCCACATCCCCTGGAAGTGCTTCCTGTTGGGTTGCTGCTAGAAGCCCTACCTCCTATTGCAAGTTACATTTTAGTACAAAAAAGAGGGATCTTCCTGCTCAATCACAATCCATTTAATTTGTTTTTTCTTCCTAGCACCCAGTGAGCCTGCAGTCCCCTTGAGCTTCTGTAGCAACTGAGCTGTGTTTGGATAGAGGCTTGTGTCCACCCCACACTGCCTCCTCCCAACCCAAGGAAGCCAGATCTCAGGCATGGGTGGGTCCTTGGCCAGGGACCCTTTGGCTGAGAGTCTGAGCTTAATTCATGGTTGTCCAAAAGCAGTCACTTAGCCATGACCTAGGCTGCACAGAGCTGACTGAATGCAGAACGTACTGGTCTTCCACCCCCACCTGCCTCAGTGAGGCATGCCCTGAGACTCACCCAGCCCAGGGAGTCACCATTCCCTGGTCTGGAGGGCCAATGCTATATAAAGCAATGGCCCTTGTAGTTTAATCTTGTACCTCCTCATTTTCTCCCACAGGACCGCCCTGGATAGGATTGTGAGCCACAGCTTTCTCCCTGAGGCCTCCTCCCTCAGCCTGCTCAATTCCATGAATAGCCTCAGAGCCCTCTGGGAAAAAGGGCTGGCTGAAAAGGTGCTGCATCTGCTTAGGCTTGGAATGGGAATGAGCTAGAATGCTCTTTCTTCACTTCAGGTCCTTTCTGTTACTGTCTCTAACTTCTGGCTGGCTTCTGTTTATCCTCACCCTGGCAGGACCTGTGTGGAGCCACCACCTGTGACACATTGGGCATGGCTGACGTGGGCACTATGTGCGACCCCAAGAGAAGTTGCTCTGTGATTGAGGATGATGGGCTCCCATCAGCCTTCACCACTGCCCATGAGCTGGGTAAGCCTGGAGGGGGCTCTTGGGTGGGGTAGGAGAGCTCCCCTCCTGGGTCTTCCTGGGGTTCCCTGGGTGCTCGGGTGCGGGGTAGACACATGGACTTGTCTTTGCTTTCTTGTGTCCTGAAGCCTTAGGGATCCTTTCCCAGGGTTAGAGTCTTCCATAGCAATGGTTTTGTTTGATTTTCTCTGATGGTCCTGGCTCGGTTGGCTGGTGATTCTCTCTGAGGCCTAAGCAGCCAGAGTGTCTCATCAGTTAGGTGCTGAGAGGAAAATAAGTTAAATACCCTCCTTTCCTCAATGACCCTACAGTCTGATGGATGGGACAGAGAACACAAGAACCTGATCTTGGGAGATCTGCAAAGGAATCTACCCCTGTGTAGAAATGACCCTCCTGAAAGCCATTGACAGGGGCCTCTAGCTTCCTAGCCAATCCTCCTCACAGCCATACTCACGCCCTCTACACTGCACAGCCCTATGCGTCTTCTTGCCTCACCCAGGTCATGTGTTCAACATGCCCCATGACAACGTGAAAGTGTGTGAGGAGGTGTTTGGGAAGCTCCAAGCCAACCACATGATGTCCCCAACGCTCATCCAGATCGACCGCACCAACCCCTGGTCAGCCTGCAGCGCGGCCATCATCACCGACTTTCTGGACAGTGGGCATGGTAAGCCAGGGTGACAGAGGGGGAGCATCTGTGCTGTCACTGTTGGCAGCACTCGCCACTTCTCTGGACCTGTACTCTGTTGCCTAAGGTGTGCCTGACCCCAGAGAGCTGGGCTCTGAAGTGGGTCCACTCCATTGCCTCTTGCTTCCTTTACTCCCTACCCTTCAGCTACTGGGCTGGCCAGGCCTTGCCTTCCCCAGCTCATCCCTAATGAACACCCTGGGCTCTCTGCAGGAGACTGCCTCCTGGACCAACCCAGCAAACCCGTCGCCCTGCCCGAGGACCTGCCGGGTACCAGCTACACCCTGAGCCAGCAGTGTGAGCTGGCCTTTGGCGTGGGCTCTAAGCCCTGTCCCTACATGCAGTACTGCACCAAACTGTGGTGCACCGGCAAGGCAAAGGGGCAGATGGTGTGCCAGACACGCCACTTCCCCTGGGCCGATGGCACCAGCTGCAGCGAGGGCAAGTTCTGCCTCAAGGGGACCTGTGTGGAGAGACACAACCTCAATAAGTACAAGGTGAGTGTGCTGGAGGGGCGCAGACTCTGGGCCCTCCGCTGGGAACTGGACTCATCCCAGATTTGCTCTGTGACCGTAACTGTCCCATTGCCATGCTGTGCCTCTACTTCCCTGTCTGTGGTTCTGTTACCTTCTCGACTCTAAGATGGGAAAGGAAGGGTGTGGTAGGTGAGGACACTTGGTGAGGCCTTAGGCAGGTAGGAAAGCCCTTCAACCCAGGTGAGGGGTCCCAGAGCTGAGCTCTGCACCTTGTCCTACCTGGAGAGGAGCTCTGGACCCAGAGCTGAACACACTTGAACATTGGAGTTGCTCACCTGCTGGTTCCTTCCTTTCCTCCCTCCCCTCTTTCTGAGTGTGTGCCCTTTTCAGGGAGCTGTGGGCCCGAGATGAACAAGGCTCAGAGCTGCAAGGAAGCAGACCCCTGGGCCAGCCTCAGTAACTTGCCACATCCTCGACCAAGTGTCAGTTTCTCTCGTGATGTCTGTTTTCTGAAGTTGAACCCTAATGGAACACATTTTATTTTTCCTGATAAGGAGGAATAGCAATCAAACCAGAGCAAATCCCAAACCCCAGATACTCTCTGAACACAATAAACACTTTAGGGTCTGGGTTGGGATAGGGAAGGGATTTGCAGTTTCCAAGGCAGGAATAAGAAGTCCCTCCTAGTCTGCCTTCCCGCCCCTGCCCAGCTGCAGGAGGGCTTGGCGTGGGGTTTTGTGTACACAGAAGCAATATAATCAAAAAGCATTCTCCCAGCACTTTAGCAATTGCCTTGAGATGGGTGTGGTAAAGAATTATGTAAAATCTTTTTCTGTGTTCTGAGAACACATATTTAACTAAACTTTAGCCATTTATTAGGCAACAACCCATTGTGTGCAGGGAGCTGTGTAGGATCCAGTGGTGGTCAGAAATATAAGTAAAAATGGGCCGTGCTCAGAGGGCTCACAGGCCAGCGTGGAGGCTGGAAGTGGAACTGTGGAGAGGTGCGTGTTATGTGTTAAGGCAGAAGTATGAGCATGTATCACAGGAGAACAGGGGGTGAGAGATTAGTGATCATTAGAGGGGTCTGAGAAAACTTTGATGGGGGTTCGGGTTTGAAGAGAGCCTCAAGGGATGAGCAGGGACAGGTGGAGCCGAGACGGAGTGAAGTCAGGGAGGTGGATGAGCTGGAGGGGTGGGCAGATGAGGGCTCTCTGGGATTCAGCTTTGGGAAGGTGGTTTGAGGCTGGACTGCAGTTGCCTTGACCACTGGGCTGATGGGTTTAGACTGGTAGGTTCCGAGTGCAGGCCAGTCACGGCCGGCTCCTGCTCTGGAGAAGATGAGTCAGGAGGGTAAGGAGATTGGTCAAGAGGATAATGGATATAAGAAATGTGATCAGCGAAGCACAATCTTTCCACATACATTCTAGAATTCTCAGTTCATCAGCAGCAAAATCCACCATATCCTCAACCTCTTTTATGAACAGTCTCTTCACCACACTTGTTTCAACTGAAACCTAGCCCTTCACAAAGGACGTGGTCCTAAGTGGCCAAGGTCAAACACAAAGCTTCTGGTCCCCTAGAAGAAGCTCCCCTAGGAACCTCAGGGACTTCAGCTGCAAGAATACCGCCATGTTTCCCCAGCCCACTCCCTCTAGCGTTTGGGCTCCAACAACCCTTCCATCCCATCTGGACCCACAGTCTATCGATCAGGCCATTTTGTCTTTGTTCCTCACTCTTCTCATGCCCTCATAGGCCTCTTTACTGAGCCGAGAGTCCATGGCTCATTGTTCAAGGCGCTCCTTCACACACACGGCTGACTGCCATGCCCCATTCACTTGGATGAGACACCACCTTGGTGGAATCCAGCTCTCTCACCTACTCGGTTGTGCTGGAGTAGATGAATGTGGCTGGAGAAGGACATGCAGGTGTGCTCAATGGTCTCAGTTTAAATCCTTGACCTGGAAACTTGGGTGGGCCCGTGACGCTGCCCACAGGTCATATCATAGGTTAACTCTCTAGTTCACTCACTCTCCCAACCTCTTAAAGTATCATATTACCCCGTCACCCCTCTCCTCCTATTACCAAGTGTTCCTTCCTCATTTTTACGTTTTCCAGGAACGTTTCTCCCCATTTCACTAGGAAAAAACAAGCCATAAAATAATCAGAAGAGAACTTCCACCAACTCCCACCACTACATCCACCATCTGCCCTGCTTCTGTGCCCATATTCTCTCCTTTGTCTCCTTGAGGATGGGTGGCCTGTGCACGCTATTATCTGAGGCCAGCCTTTATGCTTTGCACTGGCACGTGGTCCCCTCGCATCCGTTCCAGGACAGCGCTCTATCAATTCTCCCCTCTCCCGCAGGATCAGATTTCCCCATCCTGAGTTGAATCGTTCCTGTCCAGGTGCAAACTCACTGTGACTTTTCCTGTGTATTTATACAAGAATAAATGCATAGATAAGTCTTATACAAAACTTATCACGATCCTACGTCCTCTCCATATACTGCAGCTGATTGCTCTGACTCCCTTTATGGCAGAGTTCCTTGAAAGAGTTGTATCAACTTGCTCTGTTCAATTCCTGTCTTGGCATTTTTCTCTGGAATCCGTTCCACTCAGGGTCTCATTCCCAGCATCCCTCCAGAGTAACTCAGTAAGGCCATGGAATGGCCTCCACATTGCTAAAGTCAGTGATCAGGTGCTCCTCTCATTGCCTGACCTGCCGGCAGCATTTGTGTGTCGACCCCTCTCTCCCCTGGGAAGCAGTCTTCACTGTCTCCTGGTTCCCTCCTCTCCGACAGGCTGCCCCTTCCCAGTCTCCTTCACCAGTTCTTCCTCACACTCTCATTTTCCCAGCATGGGAGAGCTCAAAGGCTCCGTCCTCGCCCTCCCCACTGTTCATACTAACTTCTTGGGTGATTCGTCTAGACCATTGGCTTTAACCACTGTATTTCTACATTGAAGTCTCCCAAACTTGTATGTCCAGCACAGACCTCTCTCCTGAACTACAGACCTGAGTGCCCCACTGAATCTTGATATCTCAATGTGGATAACAAATAAACATCATAAACACATCTAGGGAACCGAGCTCCCAATTATTTCCCCTAAAGCTCCTTTGGCGACTCCATCTTCCAGTTGCTCGTGCCAACACCACTTTTCTCTCACCTCACATCCAGTACTTCAGCAGTTCCTGTTCATTCTGTTTGCAGAATAGATGCAGGTTTGAACCATTTCTCACCACCTCATCTGCTGTAACCCTGGTCCAAGCCTCTGTCACATCTTCCTTGGGGTATTGTGTTTGCTCCCTGACTGAGCTGCTTGCGTCTGTTCTTACTCCTTACACACTATGTCCACCACAGCAGCCAGAGGGGTCCTTTAGAATGTAAGTCAGGTCATGCCACTTCTGGGGCTTTACTCATCTCTTAGAATGAGTGAGCCCTACCCTGACCAGGTAGCTGAGTTGGTTAGAGTGTTGTTCCAATATGCCAAGGCTGTGAGTTCAATTCCTGGTCAGGACACATACAAGAATAAATGCATAGATAAGTAGAAGAGAAAATCGATGTCTTTCTCTCTCTTTCTTAACAATCAGTTAGAGAAATAAGAATGAGCAAGCCCTAACTCTCCCTTCATCTCCTGCTTCACTCACTCTTGTGACCCTGGAGAACTCCAAGAAACTCCCTCCTCCAGGTCTTTGCATTTGCCCCCTCTGCATGGAATGTTCTTTCCCTAGCATCTGTACAGCTCCTTCCCGTACATTCTTTAGGCCACTGCAGAAATGTCACCTTTGTAGTGAGGCCTCTGTGACCCCTCACAAAACCAACTACCCCAACTCACTGAGGCCCTTCCCATCTCTACCCCACCACCTGCCTTTAACCCCATCTGACACTATGTGCACAGGCTTATTTGTATTGTCCTCCTTGCCCTGCTGGGATGCAGTCACTCTGAGGACACAGATTTGCTGCACGTGGGGTCAGACATGTAGTAGGAACTCAACGAATACTCGGTGGATGAACAAATGAATGGCACTGGGCGGAGCACGATGCATGTTTCCTGTGGGAATGGGTAGGAAGAAGTGAGGTCAGGCAAAAAATCCCGCAACATCATCTCAGAAGCCACAGGAACGAGGTTAAGAACCAAAGAAAAAGGAGACGACAAGGCCCACGCGCAGACTCTTTCAGTCTTTCCAAGGTCCTTGCTGACTGAGGGCAGCTTCCGTGGCGCGATAGGGACGAAATCCATGTTGTCAGGCACTGAGTGGGGAGCAGACGGGAAAAGCAAACGTCGAGGACTCTCTTAGAAGCAGAAGGGTGGGTTGTGGGGAGGCACCAGTTTGAGGGGAAGGCGGGGCTCAGGGAAAGTGATTTTCTACAGGGTGAGACAGACTTGTTGACACAATGAAACCGGAACTACCTGACAGAAGGACAGATAGAATAAATAGGCTGAATATATAAACTCCAGTGTTTGCATTGCATGCAGCCAGCTCCTGATTAGCTCCATGTGGATTAGTGGTTTTGGATGATCTGTGACAGTGTTTTAATTCCAGGGTCGTACAACGAGGCTGATTCCTTTATTGCCCAACTGATGCGTGCTCGGGGGATAAAAACTCACTTTACTGTCATCATAAGAAAAACATCATGAAGACTATAAATTTTCTATCCCCTCTCCACCCTCTTAAAAAATAAGACAACACTGCATCATTCACCCCGAAGCCAAATGGAGTTTTAAGATTGCCTAATAGTTTCATGTCTATCTTCTCTTAGCACAAACATTAGAACTGCTTATAGTGAAACTTTTTCAAATTCAGTCCCCAATTGAAGTGAAGATCAGTCCAGTTTGGTGAAAAGCCTGAGTTATTAAACATTTATAGATACAAATATTCAGATTTCTGTGGCTTCCTGGCAGGGCTGGGGGCTGGCCATGCCTTAGATTTAGAGACTGGTATGTGCACTGACACTTCAAAAGGAGAAACTTTGAACTTCTGCGTGGCAAGCATCATGCTGGGAAATTTCCTTCACTCTATAGCATGTATATCTTCTGTCTGACCACACACCTGAGGACCATGGGCCCCGTTTTTGCAGATGAAGGACCTGAAACTTAGGAAATTGTAGCATTTGGCTTGCCTGACTTCACAGCCCAAGATATCTCTCTTCTGAGTGGCCTCATTTGTTCCTGGGAGCAGTTGACATCTGCTAATTAATAGGTTGAAGTGTTGTGTGGGCCTAGTGCACACTGATCATTTGTGTGTTGTTTTTTTTTTCCCTGGAGATACAAAGTGGACTTCGTTTCGGTGGGGTGGGACCCTGGAGGCTCTTCTGCAGGCTCAGGGTGTGGGTGTGGCACCCCGACCCCTGCAGGAGGATAACAGACTCTTCCTCACAGGTGGATGGCTCCTGGGCCAGATGGGAGCCCTACGGCCTGTGCTCTCGCACCTGCGGCGGGGGCGTGCAGCTGGCCCGGAGGCAGTGCAGCAGCCCCACCCCGGCCAACGGGGGCAAGTACTGCGAGGGAGTGAGGGTGAAATACCGATCTTGCAACCTGGAGCCCTGCCCCAGCTCAGGTGAGGAGGGAGGGCAGCGGTGGTTTGTGACTAGGGAAGGCCAGGCTGGTGGTCACAGCCTCCACCCTGGGTAATTCATGGCATCAATGTATTGAATCAAGATTCTGTGCCTTAGGACAGAGCCTGGGAATGCACAGGTGCACATTCCTTTTGGGATAACTTCTCGGTCTACTCCCTTGGCAAGAATGCTTCTTCCTTCCAGATACTTAGATTGGGAGGCCAAGGGCCCCAAGGGGATGGAGTCCCCTTGTTAAGTACTCCAAGCCCATCTTCACAAGCAGGAATTCATTGGATTGTCCAGGACCCATGACCTTGCATGGGAACAAAATTACATCTCTATTTTTACTGACCTTTTTTAATGTAAAATTCTGAAATTCCTTCAATTAGAAATTTAGTATATTTTTAAAAGATTTTATTTATTTATTTTTAGAGAGAAGGGAAAGGAAGGAGAGAGGGAGAGAAATATCAACGTATGGTTGCCTCTCATGCGCCCCCTATTGGGGACCTGGCCTGCAACCCAGGCATGTGCCCTGACTGGGAATCAAACCAGTGACCCTTTGGTTTGCAGGCCCATGCTCAATCCACTGAGCTATACCAGCCAGGGCTAGAAATTCAGTGTTTTTTTTTTTACTAACCAAAATTTAGTAGTAGCAGTACCTGTGACTTTGTCACTAATAGAAATCATGGAAATTTGTATTTTACATTATATTTTACATTTATATTTTACATTATATTTTAGTTGTCACAGATTCCTCAAAATGCCATTTGTACTCATCACTACTTCACAGTTACAGTGGTTATTGACTCATTATTGAGTCTGGTTATCTGTGTTAACAAGGAAGCACATAACATCACAAACATGTTCCAAAATGTATTGGTAATTGTATATGTATATAATTGGTATTCTGTGTAACCTATGTAATTTATTTTACACATTTAATAACATTCTGGAAATAGTTTCAGTAGACTGCTGAAGGGTTCTGTAGCAGGGGGCATAGGAGGCGGAGCTCAGGTGGTAATGCTAGCGAAGCTTCGCTGACTGGCCTGCTGCTCATCTCCCCCTGTGCGGCCCAGTTCCTAACAGGCCACAGGCTGGACCACTACTGGTCCACGGCCTGAGCGGACCCCTGTTCTATTGTGCAAAGGACTAGGATACCTATGAAAGCTGGCTTTCAGGCCAGGTTCCTGGAGAAGGTGACACAGTGCCTGGGAGATGCCTTAGCATCTGTGCCCTGCATCCTGTGGTCCCTGCATCCTGTGATCCCTGCATCCTGTGGTCCCAGCCTGATTTGGTCCTTCAAGATGGGGTGGCTTCAATACTCAGGATCGCTCAGCCGAGGGTGGGGAGGAGCTGTTTAGAGCCCCAGGAAGCTGAGCACTGGGAGAGTTCTCTATTTCGCCCTCCCCTTGGCCCCTCCCTTTAGCTTTCTGTACATGCTTTCCCCTCCGCAGCCTCTGGCAAGAGCTTCCGGGAGGAACAATGTGAGGCCTTCAATGGCTACAACCACAGCACCAACCGGCTCACCCTCACTGTGGCCTGGGTGCCCAAGTACTCAGGGGTGTCTCCCCAGGACAAGTGCAAGCTCATCTGCCGTGCCAACGGCACCGGCTACTTCTATGTGCTGGCACCCAAGGTGAGTGAGCCTGGATCAGGTCAGAGGAGGTTCAAGGTCTTCAGAGGAGCATCCTGTTGAACTGCCCCCTCTCCCTTTTTCCCCCTTCGGGGGTGCTGCAGGTGGTGGACGGTACGCTGTGTACCCCTGACTCAACCTCAGTCTGCGTCCAGGGCAAGTGCATCAAGGCTGGCTGTGATGGGAAGCTGGGCTCCAAGAGGAAGTTCGACAAATGTGGGGTGTGTGGGGGAGACAATAAGAGCTGCAAGAAGGTGATGGGACTCTTCACCAAGCCCATGTGAGTTCTGGGCCCTGGAGGGTGTGGCTAGGGTGCACGGGAGATGAGGGGGTGGGGGTGAGTGGCATTGTGCCAGGCATTGGAAGTTTGTGTTTGGTTGGAGTAAATGTCAGATCCTGGCCAGTACCCTTGCTGTGGAGACCACTCACACTCTTCTAAGAGTATGACATTCATTCATTCATTCATTCATTCAGCAAACAAAGAGGAATGCTCAAAGAAGACAGCGCTCAGCAGGAGATGCTATTCTGGGAGATGGCAGAGAGTAGTTAGGGTCCATCTATAGTCCTAGACTAAGACTGACCTGGATTCATATTTCAGATCCCAATATTCTCGGTGGCTTTGGGCAAGTGACACAGTCTCTCTTTTGTTTTCATCCTCACCCAAGGACATGCTTAGTAATTTTAGAGAGAGAGAGAGGAAGGGGGAGAGAGAAGGAGAGAGCAAAACACTGATGCAAACACTGATGCAAGAGAGAAACATTAATCAGTTGCCTCCCTCACATGCCCTGACCAGGGATAGAACCTGCAACCCAGGCATGTGTCCTGACTGGGAAATGGGTTTATGGGACAATGCTCCAACCAACTGAGCCACACCGGGCCTGGGCAGTCTCTAGAATCATAGATTTCTTCACTTATAAAGTGGACACGTCACTAACATATTTCATGTAGTGCTATTGTTGAGAAGTAAGGGAGTTAATCCAAGTAAGATGCTTCACGTACTACCTGGTACATAATAAATGCTCACTAAATGTTCGTGATGATGATAACAAAATGTAACTGTAATGGAGGTAAAATGTGACAGCCTCCCCCTCTCCCTGAGCTGAAGCCCTGGCCTTGGAGGCCAGGTTCAGGTGAGAATGGCACTAACTGTAGAGAGAGGCAGGGCGGGAGGCTGGGACTCAAGGAACCCCCCTTCCTGGGGGGCCTGTGCCAGGACCAGCTGAACCTGCGGCTCCCTAGCTTGGGCTCTCTGAGGTCCAGCACATTCCCTTTTATTTTCCAGAGGAGTGTGCTCCTCTGAAAGTCTTGACCCATGTCTGGGAGCAGCTGGGCCAGGCAGAGTCCCTGGGGTCTCATTGGAGGGGCAGGTATGGTTGGTTCTGAAAATTTGGGAGTCCGGGTGCTGATGATGACTGGTCAGGAGCCTCAGCTGCATGTCCCCCCAGCCCAGACACAGGGCCCTCTGCTGAGCCCCTAGGTGGGTACCTTCTCTGGTCACTTGGACACAGCAGGTCATTGGTGTCCTAGGCTGTCCTTCACAGGGATCTGCAGGGGGCAGGGGCAAGTGAAGAGTGAAAGGTTAATACCTCCAGACTTGTTTCACTGGTGAAATGATAACTGTTCCTTTCATAGACTATTGGAACTGGAAGGGATCTTTGATGTCATCTAGTTTAACCTACTCATTGTATAGATGAGGATGCTGGGACCCAGAGAGAGTGACTTTCTTAAAGTCACCAGGAAGTTGGGGTTCCAGCCAAGGCTTGATCTGGGTCCCTGGCTCCAGGGCCATGCGTGCCTCTGCACTGAGGCACCAGCCTGGGACTGCAGCCTGACTCCTCCTCCTCCTTCTCCCCTCCCCCTCACAGATATCCATGGCATGCCCAGTCTGTGCCAGGTGCTAAGCTCACGCTTTATGTGCTGTAGCTCATTTCATCCTAATCACTGTGCCACGAGGTCTGTGTGACTGTGACCACTAAGTGAGTTATCTAAGGCCAAGGCTAAGGGTGTGGTAGGCATCCCTCAGGCTCCAACCTTCTGCGTTCAGTCAGATGCTGGAATTTACCCAACTGTCATTGTGTTGAAGAGGAAAAGATCACGAGGTGACATGGCAGGTGTGTTTAGTTCTAGGTGACCTGAAGACAGTCCCCTCCACTGTCCTCCTGGCCCACCCCAGGCTCTGTGACAGGGGAATCTGTTATGACTTTGGAGGGATCAGGTCTTGCAGTCCAGGCATCTGTCTAAGGCTTCTCCCCTTCTCACTGCAGGCACGGTTACAACTTTGTTGTGGCCATCCCTGCCGGCGCCTCAAGCATCGACATCCGCCAGCGGGGCTACAAGGGGCTCGTTGGCGATGACAACTACCTGGCCCTGAAGAACAGCCACGGCAAGTACCTGCTCAATGGGCACTTTGTGGTGTCACCCATGGAGCGGGACCTGGTGGTGAAGGGCAGCGTGCTGCGCTACAGTGGCACGGGCATGGCGGTGGAGAGCCTGCAGGCGTCCCGGCCCATCCTGGAGCCCCTGACCGTGGAGGTCCTCTCTGTGGGGAAGATGACGCCCCCGCGGGTCCGATATTCCTTCTACCTGCCCAAAGAGCCTCGGGAGGACAAGTCCTCCCACCCCAAGGACCCCCGGGGCCCCCCTGTGCTCCACAACAGTGTCCTCAGCATCTCTAATCAAGTGGAACCGCCAGAGGACAGGCCCACAGTGCGCTGGGTGGCGGGCAGCTGGGGGCCATGCTCCTTGAGCTGTGGCAGTGGCCTGCAGAAGCGGGCGGTGGTCTGCCGTGGCGCCCTGGGGCAGCGCACAGTGTCTGCCTGCAACACGACCCATCGGCCGGTGGAGACACGCACCTGTGGGGACCCCTGCCCCACCTGGGAGCTTGGGACCTGGTCACCCTGCTCTAAGAGCTGTGGCAGGGGATTTAAGAGACGTCCGCTCAAGTGTTTGGGCCACGGAGGGCGGCTGCTGGCCCGGGACCAGTGCAACCTGCGTCAGAAGCCCCAAGAACTGGACTTCTGCATCTTGAGGCCATGCTGAATAGGACCATCCCTTTCTCCTCCTCACTGTCCGCCCCATGGGTGCTGCCAGTGCTCTGGCCAGCTGGAGCGGTGGGCACAGGGCAGTGGCCAGGGGCCCATGCCACTATGTCACCACATCCAGGGACTAGGATCATGGGTGGGAGCGAGCAGTTCCCTCCTCCTCCCTGGCCTGGGCGGGGAGCTAAGTCACTAATGCACAGTCTACCTCACACCTGGCTCCTCTGGGGCCCAGTCTCGGGGAGAGGCTGAGAGGTGCGGGTGCTGGGCAAGAAGGTGCTGGGGTTCAGTTGCCAAGAGACCTGGAGGATGGGCACTCCCAGGCAGAACTTCAGGGACCTTGGCCCCCGTAAGGGAGGCCATAGGCTGCTGGAAGAGCCATGGCCCAGCAGCTGGGCACCCTTTTGTGGCCCCAGGGGCTCTGAGCCATCTCTGAACAAGGTGCTTTTAGCCCACATTCCCTTTCTGACTGACATGGACTGAACAATAAAAATGGGCTGGGAGTGAGCAGGAACTGAGGGGAGAGTGGGGCGAGGTAGGCCTGTGGCTTGGGCCAGTCTCCTTGGGAAGAGCTGGATGCCTTGGGGGAGTCCTGAGGTTCCTCATCTTCCTTCTACCCTTGGCCCCCCATTATAGAGACACCACTTCTCTCCATGTCACCCAGGACACCAGACTAGTGGGAGGGCTTTCACATAGATGTGCTCTGAGGCTTTGCAGGTAGAGCTAGGAAGTCAATAGGGAGCCTGTTGTTTTCTTTAAGAGGGATCCGACCATTCAAAAAATGCTGAGACTTGTAAGGGGACGTGGATTTTGGGGCTGAAGCAGGGAGTTGGGGAGATCCAGAGGGCTCTGCTGTCACTGGGGCTCTAGGATGGGGAGCAGGAGGCCCCAGTTCTGATGGCTTCTCCCTCCAGGGAGGCAGGTATGAATCAGGCTGACGCCTTAGGCTCTGCATCATCTCAGAGAAACTTCAAAGTGGGCACGGTCCTGTGCCTACTAAGAAGGCATGGGAAGTGCCCAGGAGGGCTGGGTGCTGAAAATCCACATGCTGGTCTTCATCTGGACAGCTCCACGCAGTCTGGCCTTGGGCATATCACGTTGCATCCTAGGCTGTGGTTTCTGCAGTTGCAAAATGGGGTGCACGATTTGCTACCTCAGGCTGTGCTCTCTGGGAACCCACCCTGTCCCTCCCCTGGGACAGTGGTGTCTTGGTGCTTCCCGAGGCCTCGGCTGTTGTCCTCTGTAGACTGAGCTGTCCAGACACAAAGGTGAGCTTGGGTGCCTGGCCTTCTTCTCCCCATAGCCTGGCCACACCCTGCAGCTCCAAAAACAAAGACAGGGCCTGTTTCTTCAGGTGCTCTGGAAGCTGGTTTTAGGAGACCCGAGAATCCTTCACTTGACCCAAGGACCCTGGATAACCACCAGTGGGGACTGCCACAGAACTGTCTTATCTTGGAGACATCTTAGGGGTGTAGAAACCAGGACGTTTCCTAGAGCTCCAAGTAGGAAGATGTTTGGGGTTAAAGATTCTTTGGCCCAGGGAGGTATTTCTTGAGGGTTCAGCTGCCCCAGTACGCACATGCAAGATTCTGCTTCTGAGTGTAGGAAATGTGTCCCAGACTTCAGTGAGGGGACATCAGGGCAAGTGTCTTTTATTTGGTTTCCCCTAAGAGTCAGAATCCACTAAGCAGCCAGCCAGCCAGGCGGGCCTCCGGGGTGGTGTTCTCAAGCCAGTCAGACCCTGGGCCAAGCCCGTGGGCAGAGTCCCCCCAACGGGGCAGCATGCAGACCCCACTAGCCGACGACAGCACTGTACCCCGTGCTTGGTGCCCCCGTCCTCGGTGAGGAGAGGGTGGCCCGGGGGCTGTGTGGAAGGGGCGGGGAGCGGGTGGGTGGGAGGGGAGCTGCCGTCAGTGAGGTGCTTGGCCTGCTGGCAGAGCAGCTGTACAAATCACTTCAAGGAGGGACAACCGACCTTGTCCCTGACGCAAACTGGTCTCGATGTTCTTTTCTGTCGTGATGTTTTTTGCTTCCCTTGTTTTTCCTTTTTTAAAGAAGTATGACCAAGACAACTTGGGAGGTTTGTCCTGTCTTTGACCATGTCACTACTCCAACCATGCCCTCTGAGGCTGAGCACAGAGAAGCCTCGAGGCACAGGTTTCTAGGGAGGGAACAAAAAGCTAAGGTGGCATCTCATGTCTAATGGAAGAAGAGGAACGTTTTCGAGGCTCCAGCAGCTTCTTTGGAGGGGTGTGGATCAGAAAGGATCGGGGCTCAGGAGCCCTCTGCCTCCTCTGCCTGTCGTGCGCACTGATTGGAGGAGCCCAAGCTTAGGCGCCTCGCCAGGCTGGAGGGGGCGTCAGGGGAGCCGGGGACAGGTGGAGAGACTGGAGCGTTTCCTCCCTGGAGTTGGCTCTGGAAGGCACGAGGCACTGCCCTGTAGGGAGCGCCCCTCTGGTGTCTGGTTCTTTTGCTTTCCATGTGCTGCGGAAGGGTGGAAGGGCCTGGGTACTGGCTGGGCGGTGTATACTGTGTATACACGGGGGCTGGCTGCTGCGGGGACGACGGCCTGCTCTAATAAAAGCTGTACGTATTTAAAATCTGTGTGCTGCCTCTAAGAGTTCACCTCCTCTGCAAACATCTTCCCCATTTCCACAGAATACCCACCCTGTGCTGGCTGCAGTGCTAGGGGCTGGGCTGTAACAGGGACAAAGACAGACACGGTTCCGGTCATGCAGCCAGCTGAGGGGGCAGGGCCAACAAGGAGTGGGCGGAGGGGCAGGACAGTAGAAGACATGGTAAGAGCCAAGAAGAGAAGAAATGACGCTGAGAAGGAGAACTAAGGTGGGGGTGTGTGGGTAGAGTGACCGGGGAAGGCCTGGCCCAAGATGGGACACAGCCCTGTTGAAGGGGGACCTGAACCTTCCAGCAGGGGAGCAGCCTGTGGGCTTGGGGTCCAGAAAGAGCAGGGCAGCCTCGGGGACTGAACTGTGGTGAGGAGGGAGGCCCAGGAGAGGCCAGAGGGTCCACCACGCAGGGCTCCCGGTTACCTGCCTTGGCGGAAGCCCCGTGTTTCCAGAGGGGAAGTTCCATTCTGTGTGGAGAGTGTTTCTCGCTTCCTAGTTCTGCTTTGGTTTGTCAGTGATGGCAAGTAGGCAGGGAAGGGGCGGGGTGCTTTTTAGATAACCTCCAACTGGGCCCTGGCCAGGTGGCTCAGTTGGTTGGGGCGTTGTCCCTGTAACCAAAAGGTGGTGGGTTCAAGCCCCAGTCAGGGCACACACCTAGGTTGCAGGTTAGATCCCTGGTCGGTCAGGACGCATACGGGAGGCAACTGATCCATGTTTCTCTCACACATCGATGCTTCTCTCTCTCCCTTCTTCTCCCTCTAAAACCAGTAAACGTATCCTTGGGTGAGGATTAAAAAATTAATAATAACATCTAACTGAGTCCAGAAACTTGTGTTGGTCTCAGGGCTGAGATCCTCTCTTGGAATCCCATTTCCAGTCTGTGAGGTGAGAAAAATCGCTTTCATATTTAGGGTGCTTCTAGCATTCACCAGCTGAATTTCTGGGTGCAGTTTGGGTTTAGGCTTTGGGAGAGGCCTCAGGGAGAGTGACTTCCTCAGGAGCCGCTTCTAGACCCAGAGGGCTTCAGGGTGAGGGGTCCCGAGTGGGGGCTGGGACACAGCCTCCGCACGGGAGGAAAGTTCTGGTGGGGGGAGGGCCAGCCAATAGTGCCCACCTGACTGGACGAGAAGTTGGGAAGGGGTCCGGAGGGGTTCACGTTGATGTCTAAGCCAGAAGTTAGCAACTGTAAGATCTTTGTAAAATTACTCAAAACGCTGTCACATTCCTGGGCTTATTTTTGTTATCCCTTCTGTTTTCCGTTATAGCAATTGCCAATAAAACCTTTCTAAGGAAAAGTTCCCATGGGTTGGTTTAGGGGTAAATGAGAGCTTTTGCTACTCACAACACTCTTGCCATCAAATGTGTGGGGTTTCCCCCCACGCCAACTTATCCTCCAGCTCTCTGGACACCACCTGGGTGTTCTATGATTTAATTTATTTCTGACGGTACCTCGGTGGAATCGGCTGCAGACTGCACAGGTCTGGGGCCTCAGTTCCACAAGGCCTCTCCCACCTTGGACTCCTGTCGCAGTCATGGGGCCCCAGTACACCCTCGCTTCTGACAGACTTGGTGCCAAGGCCAGGGTTTCCACGACCCCCCTCAGGGTGGACAACTTGCTGGGATGGTTCAGAAAACTCGGGGCAACAGGGACTGTGCTCACTGGTTTATTAGAAAGGGTGTGACAAAGGATGCGGGTGAGCAGCCACAGGATGAGGCACCCAGGACGAGGACTGGAAGCATCCGAGAGCAGGCGCTTCTGTCCCTGTGGATTGGGGTCTGTCACCCTCCCTGCACCTGGCTGTGCTCACCTGTAGTCTGGGGATTTTTATGGAGACTTCCTCTACAGGCATGATGGATTGTTAAGTCAATCTCCAGCCCCCTCCCCTTCCCAGAGGGTGGGTGGTGGGGCTGGCAGTCCCAGGTTTCTTAGCACGGTTTGGTCTTTCTGGTGATCAGCTGTCTCCGGGGACATGCAGGAGCTCACCCAGAGCCACCTCATTGGAACAAAAGACACTTCTATCACCCAGGAAATGCTGAGGGTTTTAAGAGTTTCTGTGTGGGGAAGGAGGGAGGCAGAGATCAATATACATAATCAATGCACATATATATTTCTTACTATGTTGCAGCAAATAAAGAGGAAGGAGAGGGGGCTGGGTCCCACCTCAGGAGAGCTGCAGGTAAGGTATGGACGGGGGTAACAACTTACAATTACACCAAAGCCGCCTGGAGCAGGGGAGGCTGCTTGCCTTTTTAAGGCTTTCTGGAGATGGAAGGAGCAGTTTCCTAACCTCGCTGGCCTCTGAGGAGGGGCAGGAACAATTTGCTTTGTAATTCATCCTCAGGAGAGGAATGTATTTTTTGTCCCAGTAGAGAAAAAGTCTCAATAATTGTCAAAAGGTCTTGACTCCCTGGGGCACACTCTCCCTGCCCAGCGAGGCCTGGCGGGTCCCCAGCAGGCTGAGCTGGCAGGGCCAGTGGCAGCGTGTGTGACCCAAAGAGTCTTTCCGTGGCTCCCTGGCTGGCTCCCAGCCCTGTTGGGTGAGTCAGCCTGGAAGTCTGCAAACCTAGCAACAGATCCCAGAAGAGCGGAATGTCTCCCACTTTAAGCTCTTCAGAAGCCACCACATCACCCCCAGCCCACAACAGCCTGAGAGGATGACAATGACATGGTCACTGCTCCCAACCGTGGGGCTTGGCCACCCAGAGACTCAGTGCTGGGCCCCCTTGCCGCTCCACTGGGAAGCCCTCTTGTGTTTGTTCCCCTGTGTTTGGTCAGCAACGTACATCACATTCCAAGTACTGGCCTGAATGTTGTGGAGGGAGATAAGAGTTCCTGGCTTCCAGAGGCATTCTGAAGAAGAAACAGAACTATTTGTTTCCAAAGGAGAATGATTTTGGCAAAAAGGGCAAGATGCAGAGGAAGAGAGAAAGGAACCTCTTCATGAGAAATTGGATCGGGGAATGTGGTGAAAATGTCATCGTGGAGAGTGGTGGGAGGTTGATGAGATCTTAGCCACATCCTTAAATTGTCACAATCCGTTCTTCCCACCTCCACTCTGCTGCCCCTTCTTGGGGCCACATTGGGCTTCTGACTAGGTGTCCAAATGACCTCATGGGACTGGGCTTGGCTTCTAGTCTCGGTAGGGGGACCCATCACTTCTGCCATGGGTGATGCAGTGGTGTTGGTGTTCTGGATTTTGAGAAAAGACCCCTTGGGAGGTATGAGAAACTGTGTTCAGGAGAGAGGCATGACCTCTCTGGACTGTGCTTGCAGTGACCTGGGCAGCAGTTACACTCAGCACCTGTCAGTGACAGTTTCCAAGAAGGAGGCTTCCCCGGGAACACCCATCAAACCGAGAGGGAGGACAGCCATTTCCTCTGAGCTGTGAGGACCCTGCTCTGAGTGGGCACTGATCTGGTATCCAGACATGATCCCCTGTGGTCTGCACAACCATCCTCTGAGGGTTGATCAACCCAGAATGAAACCAGCATTTCAAATTGTGGAGAAACTTGTGCAAAGTTGCCCAGGCTGGTGGCGGGGCCGGGATTCCAACTCAGGTTTGCTTCCTCCCAGAACCGGGCTCTTCGCTGCTCCGCTGCAGTGTAGGAGGTCTCGCCAGCCCCTTGGCAGGGCAGGGAGACCATTACCCAGTCATTTCTTTTTCCCTGAAAGATTCCTTGGCATGACTTAGGAGTATGTTCTTAAAGCAATGTTTTATGATTTCCAATGAACCTAGTAACACAACCCAAACTGGCCCTGATTCCTATAATCTCTCCTAATGGGAAATCTAGTCACTCGATTGGTTTCTTGTATATTTCCCAGTGGAGCTTCTTTTGAAGTTCCTAGGGCTGGCATTTGACTTTCGGGACCACCCTGCCACCAAATGAACCTGGAAATCAGAGGTGCCGGAAATCTGGAACGGTTTGAGCTACTTTGAATGTCGAAGGGAGGAGAAGAATGATGAAAAGTGAGTGAGGCCCCAGCAATGGAGTCCAGCAACCCCTATGGCTTTTTATTTTCTCCAGAAACCTCCAGAACTTCTTTTCTTCCCCTTCCTTTTCCTTAAAATAATCATTAAACATTTAAGAAATACAGAAGGAACAAAAAATAAAATAAAACAAAGCCCAGGTGCTTTATTTTATTAATCAGCCAGCATGAGAAATAAAACATTACCAACAGAGTCGAAGTCCCCCTGGGCCCCCATCAGGGGTAACCATCATCTTGAATTTGCTGTTTATCATCC